AATAAGATATAAAACGATCGTCATAACTAAATTCTCCTACAGAAGAAGAATTTAGTTTAGAAGGACGCTCAAAGGAAAACAGAATGGTCAATACTGACTCTCGGTTACAGTTTACATAATTCTGCAGAGTATTATAGAATGACTCTCAGAAAATATCCCTAAAGCATGAGAATTCAGTTAAGACCCTACACTTCCATGAAGAATCGAACGATCACGAATGACGCTCGACCACAATTACAAAATTTACTCAGAATACTGCAGTTTGAAGATCAAACCCTATTTCCACTCAGTTCACACCATTTATCAATCGTCCACCCACACATCCAAACATGCAGTAACACGAATATTTCATATTCATCAAATAATCAAACAAAGTATCATACAAACATACAACCATTCAAAAAAAGAATCTTAATCAAATTATATAAGTTTCCCTTACCTCTAATGTAGTCGAACGCTCAAATGATGCAAGTTATAGCTCACCACTACAGAGACCTAGCGTTCACAGTCACCTTTAAGAAATTCAACCAAAACAGAAGGCCCAAAAAATACTCAGATGAGATAAATACAATCATGCCCAACCAGAAATATGGGTATTGCATGGAAAGGTGAAAGGAAACGAACTTCTAGGGAGAAAGTAACTCACCGGCTTGAAACCACAACGTGATCGGTTTAAACGAAAAGCTCTTGACGTTGGGAGAGTTCAAACGGTGCCTGAGGGATAATCGGAAGAAGAAAAGATGATAATTTCTTAGAGAGAAGGTGGAGATGGTAGAGAGAAGGAGGAGATTCAGAAGGTTGAAGAGAATGATGCATGCAGGAGAAGTGGCACGAAAAATTTGAAAGTTTAAGTTTTTCTCCTATCGTCAAAACCGTTCGTCCAATCTGCATCACACACATGTTTTTCACTTTCTGAAATTTAGACACTCTTTTTATTTACACATGTAATCTACTAAGTTGGAGTTTTAAGGATTATGAGATATTTCAATGTTATTCTTTATAAAGTTCTTTTAATTATCAACTATAATAAATGTTGACAATATTTGATTTTTTGTTTTTTTTCCAAAATCATCGCATGTTTTATTTTAAAAGATACTAAGAGAAGAAGAAAGGGAAGAAGTTAGGAAGAATATTAACAAAAGAGAATGGTACATCACATCAATGATCTGTGAATCAATGACTTGTTACGTGGCAAGCTAACATTGTAACAATGTGAAGTGAGAGAAAGGAAGAGAAGGATGAGGGGAGAAGAGGAGGAGAGGAGAGAGGAGGAAACAATGAGAACGTGAGGAACAACGCTGTCCCTTCAACAAAACAGATACATTTGGTTTTTGTCGTTGTTCAAATTTCCGCTCTCACCCAAAAAAAATAAGTGTCCTTGATTGCAATTCCCAAATAATAACTAATTACCAAAGAGACCCCTATTATCCTCCTCCGGGTAAATTATTCAATTCAATTAAATTAAACTAAACCCTTTCTTTTGCCGAAACTGTTCTGTTAATTCTCTTTCAATTTAATCAACACAGGCTACGCCCTTCCTTTCCCGCCACCGAGTTACCATCAGCGCCGCGCCGCCTCCTGCAGGGTTGAGCCGTTTGCGCCACCGCCCTCCGCAGTTCCAAGGTTACAAAGCTATTTGAATTAACAGTACCTCCGCCACCTCCTTCGCATTACGATTGCCACCACTTACAGTATCATGACGATGGTACCCCCGGTTTTACTTCCTTCTTGGAAGCCTGGTACAATTATCTCTCCTCTTGATTTTTAATTTTATTTTCCTTATTGTTTGTGGGTTTTTTTTTCTTTTAAAAGAAAAATGTCAAGCTCAGAGGTGTTGCTTTCTAATTCAGATATGCATTTCTACAACGTGTGTGTACAGAAATTAAAGCGGTTATCAATTCACATGATGTGTTTAACATTTTTATATTAATTTCTTCCTCCTGTTTTAAATGTTAAACTAATGGATTAGGATCGTATAATTTTGTTTTTGGAAATTGGTTTAGAAATTGGATATTGGGATCTGAGTTCAATGGAGAAAGGGATTTGAAAGATTTAAATTTTCCTGCATGATTTTTAGTTTTTACAATGTCAACTAATTGTTGATTAATATGCCATTAATTTTACAAAAGTTACTAAAATCAACAAATTTATCATAACATATAATTAGATGATTATGTAAAAGAGTACTATGTTAGTACATTCTAGTTGAATCGAAAGGAAATGTTTCTGAATTAACAATAAATGCAACATTGCTGAACCAAAGGAAAACATCCTAACTAACAGAGAATTTTTTACACAATGCAAACAGATAGATGGCACAGGTGCTCCTGTGTTTTACTACAAGAGTAGAGACCCTGTGAAATTTATAGAAAATTGTTATTGTTACAATATTACCTTTCAAGTAGTAACATCTTTGTTCCTTCCATTTCCTTCATTTTTTTCTTTCTGCACAATGAGTTAATGATGCAGAAGTAGAAGTCAATCGTTGCTTTTTTTATCAATGATAACCTTTTAGGTAGAGTATACCTATAAGGTTCGGGTTCCTTATACTTCTGAGAAAAGGGAATCTCAATATTATAACTTGCGACAATCTCCAAATTTTACACACTGATGATGGTCTGTTATAGATCCTGTTCTTCCATCACATTTTGCTTTTCATAATGCCGGGTTCAATATATCCATGGATTAGATGACTATCATAGCTATTACTTTAATGCGAAACGTGAATCAAAAACCCTTAGGGAGAGAAATAAAGCATTGGGTCCGCACTTCTTCTTTTGATGTCAAATAATTGCTATGAATGAATAGTCGTCGACTCCCCCTAAAGAAAGTAGAATGAGTACGACTATTATGGGACATACAATGCATTACAGACGTATGATCATTACGCTTCAACCGGGTTATTCTATTCCACCTCTTACAAAGAAAAGAACTTAAATCAAAATACTTAATAGCATGGCAATACATTTATACAAAACTTCTACCTCAAGCACACGCAATGGAACCGTAGACCGTCGTCAAGTAAAATCCAATCCACGAAATCATTTGATCTATGAACAGCATCGTTGTTGTAAAGGTCGTAATGCCAAAGGAATAATTACCGCAGGGCGTAGAGGGGGACGCATAGAAAAGCATCATAATAAGATAACCCTATTCTATACTGGAGTAATTTAATCCCGTTCAACATAGGATAAACTATCTAAATAAAAATAATCACAAGTTAAAAAAAAAAAAACGCTAACTTCAAAATCAAATCCTAGGCTAAAATTGTAAAACCACTCTCTTACTCTGAATAATAACCAAACACATTTTATTACATTTTTCCCGCAATACTGTTTTCCTCGGAAAACCATGATCAGAAAGTAATGGAAAGTAATTATGGGGAAGAAAGATGAATGATTCCTTGTTCCAAACTATACTTTAGGCTAAAGTTTAGGTTGAAGGCAAATGGAACATAGTCACATTAAAACTTACAGTCTAGCGATGCACACTAACAGTCACTTCATAATTATTTCTATTCAATGCAAGCTATGTCTAACATTGGCATTCCAATCATAGATATGAGTAGCTAAGGACTTAGTAGAATGTGAAGGAACAACACTCAGCAGGCTAAGGCTAATAATTAAGAGTAATATGGAGAGAGCGTATGTACACTAGGAGATATACCTTTCTGACTGTTAGGATATTAGATAGAGCTTCTGTTGGTGGTTAGAGGTGTAAAGTTAATCACAGAAAATGCAGGGGGCGTATTCTTTTGTGTGGTTTGAATAGATAACCGAGCGCATTGCTCAGTTGTTGCAACTTGTAAGTTCATAAAGTTAAACCAGTGTAGGAAGCTTTTCTACTTCCTTGGTGCTCTGGTATTCAGGAACAGATGTCCTTTCGTTCTCTCGTTTCCTGGATCCTAAATGCACTCTCCTGAGTTTCGTACGTATTATTACCCAATGGAGCATACAATCAGTAAGGAAAGCAACCCATGATAACTTGAACAGTTTTGAGTAGTTGGATTAGTGATTTCTTGGAAATAGACAATTCGACGTATAATTGTTGGGAAGTATATATCTCCTTGTCTCCATTCTGAGAATTGCGGCTTTTATGTTTGTTTCCAATTGTTTGGTGATCTGACATTATAAATCAGCGTCAAAACTCATTAGTTAGAAACCAAGACACAGTACTATACTGCCCATGGAATTCATAGATTTTCATTTATAATTCACTTCACATCACCATCAAATAATTTTTTAGAGGTCTTACATGTGACAACTCTTTTGTTGTGTAAATTTTATGACAGTTCTTTAAAATTGCTTATGACTTGAGACCAAAAGTATTCTGGAAATGTTAAAACAAAATCCTTTGGACAACATGTCCCCTTTTTGGCTCACCTGTGGTCAGAATGGTTAACCGGAGTCAAATCTGTGGTTCAAGAATTTATCAAGTAAATATTGAAATTCTGGAAGAAAAATGACAACAAATAGAATGACTAGAGTCAGTTTCTCTTTAATCATTAAAGTCAACTTCCAGCTGTTGTATCACTTCATTAATTTCACATTACACTATAACAATTAGATTAAAATATGATCTAAGGTCAAAATTTTCTTAGAAGTTACATTATGTTGATGAGCTTAACCTCTTTTTTCTTTTGAATGCAAGTCTCATACTTCTTTTTATTCGATAATAAAGCTTAATACTTGAGCATTTGTGAAATTTATTAATCCGAAGCCAAGTTTTGAAGTGGCAACAACCAAGTTATTTTTTATTTTATAATCCAAAGCCAAGCTTTTTTTAGCAACTTTAATCCAGCTATAGGGACTAGGGACTGGAGAGAAATATTGCTAGGACTAGAAGCTTTCCCTATATGGACACATCATCGCTTTTCTCACAGAGCCTTAAACAAGGGAAATTCTAAACTGTTATCTTTCAGTTGGGAAAGTAAAACCTGTCAATAAAAATGGTATTGAATCCTTACCTTCCCTGTTATGTCCTTTTTGAAAAGCCTTTTTGGTTCTACAGACTAAGATTCCTTTGTTCATTTACATGTGCAGCTTGACAGCGCTTTGTTGCTGTTGTTTGCTAGAAGATTGCTTTTTCTGATGATCATATTAAAAAGTTTGCATCTGCAGTTTGGTACTTGGCCGGTTATAGCTTCTCTGGATAAATGTTGCTCTAATGTCTTCATGTGTGCGGGATCTGGTAAGTGTTAGTCATTGTTGTAACTCTTGGGTCTTTACCTTCTCCCTCACTCGTTTCTGGTTCTTCATAGATTTTCTGATGTGATCATTGTGAATGCTTAATGTTGCTTAATGTTGCTTAATGTATATTGGAAACTGTAAAGAACAATGTTTTTACCTGGAATAACAAACTAATATATTATGGTTGTCCCTTGCTCCCAGTGGCAAACACCACTCATTGTTTCGTTTTTGGTACCAAATGGATTTAAAATCGGTAGTAAAAATTAATTTACGTTCATTGGTTCAATAGTGTATACACAATTAAATGTTTTAAATATATTTTTATCCCTCTTGAATGTTCTTTAGTTTTAATTTTAGTTAGTAGAACAAGACTAATAATATATTTTGTTTTAGTACGAGAAAAAAAAGTATACTCTTAATACAGTCGCTTTAATTCTTTACTTTTATTTATACTCTATTGCTAATTAATTATTTAAACATGTGTTTAGTCTATTATCATGCGTGTTTATTAAAGAAAAAATAATGTTACTATGTAGTTAATTTTGAAGAAGTATCAAAGATCTTAAATTTTGAAAAAAGAAAGTATAGGAAAGACCTTCTTTTTTAAGGTTAATGACATTAATATCAATTTCATTTAATAACACAATAATTATTAAATACTAAAGACGTATTTAATTATCTTAAACATTAATAAGGTTCAAATAAAATTAATAAATTAAAAAATTTGTATTATTATTATACTAAAATTGAATATATCAATCATTGTTGTATTAAACTAACTATTTATTAAAATTTTATGCCGAAAATACCCTTTATAATTTATAATTTTCTGAAACTTAAAACAGTGTAAGTAGAGATTAATTCACTAGATTCAATGAAAATATATCTAAAGACTATATATTATAATAATTCCAAGTTTGTTACTTATATAAGTTTATTAAAGTTAAAAACCATTATCCAATAAATTTTATTATGATTGAAAGTAGTGCTTACACAAGAAAAGAAATCATGAACGAGAAAAATTAATAAAAAAATATTTTAAATTTTGATATCAAGTCAATTGTGAGACGAATGGAATTATGATAAATTTCACTTTAATAACCTTAATTTGCTGGAGTGAATTTTGTATAGGGTGTTTAAATCTATAAACATTGCTCACAAAAATAAGATAAGTAACTTATTTAAAGAACTTTAAATTAAGTCTATCTTAGAAAATTATAAGTAATGAACAAATGGTAGATTGAAACCATTTCACCATAAGAAGCTGAATTTGAAACAGGCAAAATCAAGCATTTTTCAACATTATGAACAGACAAGCCTGTTCAAAGATTCTGGAGTTGGTTTCTGATTCAGTTTTTGCATTTAAGTAGATAAAGGAAAAACACTGATTCACAACTAAACCAGTCAATCCAGATTGATTTTTAAAACACTGTTTAGCACAAGAAGCTATAATGGAGTTTATTATCTTCGGCTTAAGGACTTCATTATATTATGTATAGAAAAATATATGTGTAGTGTAGCTAACAGATGCATCTACCCAAGAATGAAAATATACTTTTGATCTTCTGAACAAGCTTGAGCAGTGGTTAAAAAAGTACACCTTATGTCTGCTTAAATTTCACAGTGAAGTATATATAGTACACATTCAGTTTTAAGACAAATTAATAAGTCTCATCATTATTCGCAAACTTTTACTCAAAAAAACAAAAAGAAACTGTCAATTTATGATGATAGATGGCGCTGCTTCAAGACTATAGCATGTTATTAATTATACTTGTACTTAAGTACAAGGATTTGAAAAACCTATGAATTTATAGGTCAACCAAATAAATACTTGTATTGAATAGATATTTGGAAGTGCTAGGCAGACAAAATTATTTATAAGTGAGTCATTATAGTTTATGATCACGTTGGAAAACTCAACATAGCAGCATTTCTTCATAGGATATTTGTTTTTCAACAAGTTGAACTCATGATTTGTGTCTTTCCATGAAAAACAAACATGACAAGAACAGTTGAAGAACAAGTTCAAGTGGAGGTCAGTTCAGAAGTATCATATAGAGGGAGAAGAAGAATAAGATAAAGAGTGAAAACTAAGCGCTCTTGCATTGAACAAGTAGATCAAAACTAAAATACTGAACTCTACCGAGAATACAAGAGATGAAAAAGTGGCATGATACTTCTGAAAAAGTGGCATGATAATAACGAGGGGAAAAAGGCAAATCTAAGATATGTATAAAAGTAGGAAATGCAAGGAAGTGAGAAAACACTACACCCGGCTAAAATTGCATTAATGAGTCAGCCTAGAAACAAGTACAAACATCTGAATAACAAGAAATTAAATGAGCTAAAATGCACCTAGAGAGTCCATACATATTCTGGTGCATCTTTCCTTTTCCCAGCCAATGTACGATACAAATACATTTTCTCTACCCTTTGCCCATCTTCCAAGATGCAATCTTCTTGCTCACTTTCATTGAAGATCTCCACATTCAACCTTGGCATCTTCTTGGCCAGCAACTTGCAGGCTCCCACAGTCACTTCGCAGGACGACATCCAAAGGGATCGCATTGTTTCATACTTCCCTACGTCTGTCAGAAGTGCCAAGTCACCAAAAGGGCAATCTCTTATCTCAAGCTTCCTCATTTTCTTGCATCCATTCAACACATACAGCATTCCCTTGTCACTGTCTCCAGCAAATGCAATAGACAGCATTTCAAGCTTCTCAGCATACATTCCAATGTAAAGGAAAACCTGGTCTGTCAACTTCCCTGAGAGTGATAGCCGCCTCAGTCGCCGGCAAGACTGCACAATTGCACCAAAACCTTCGTCCAGCGGCTGCATTGTATCAGGGTCAGGTTTTGTTGCATCAAGGATGCATAACCTGAAGCGGATGAAATTGGGGCAGTTCTTGGCCACTGTAATCAGTGCAGCATTTGTCATCTGGTGGCAGAAGTAGAGCAATGAATGAAGCTTGGGGCACCCCACTGATATTGCAACAAGTCCCACTTCTGTGACAGCCAATGCATTTCCAAAGGGAACGGATGGAAACACCCTCAGTTCTTGCAAATCTGTACATGTCTTGGCTACAACACCAAGTCCTTTGTCTCCAATGCAATCCATTATCTGAAAAAGTTGAGGAATTTGTTATATTCAACAATTGAAGAATTAACAAATAAAATTAGAATGTTCTGAAAATTTGATGTATTTACCCATAAGCGCTGAAGTTTCACACAGTGGCGAATTAGTTTTATCAGATCACTGCCCTGAATGCCTGCGGCATAGCTCAAGTTTAAGGATGTTAAATTGGGGCAAATGGGAAATATCGCAGCAAGACAGTGAGGAGCAACTTCCAAAAGTCCTGACAAACTGGTTATGGACTTGCACTTGAGAATGGTGTTCTTGAGCTTTATGAATGCCTCTGATTCAGGATCTTGGACAAACGATCCAATTCCCAAATCCGCTAGTTGAGGTGCTCGTGTCATTATCCTTTGCAGGGCATCAAGGGGAACTGAACGATTCAGCTTCAAACTCTTGAGGTTAGGAGACCTGGCCACAAGTCTCTCTAGAGCTCCCAAACTAACCTCTCCTTTAAGGCAAGCGAAATTCAGAGAGACAAGCGATGTGCAGCTATCAGGAAAGCAACTTAGCCACTGCCCTTTGTGATCTTCAACTTCATTTTCTTGCAGATCCAGCTCCCTAAGATACCTACATTTCAAAACAAGTAAAACACCATCAACATTGGGAGTCAAGAACACATTCCAAGAATCTTTACTCTATTCTCAATCGGCAAGAGCTTCACCAACCCCACTCGTACCACATGCAAAATGGATATTATTTCACAGGACCATGTTGTTCCAAGATTAAAAAAAATTAAAAAAACTCCTAATCATGTGCAATTCACAGACAGGCAATCAACTTTTGTTAATAACAGATCAGTCAAGCTCCCAAGATCCTCCGGGACCTTTGCTGCATGGCTTGACATGTACCAAAAGCAAGTTCAAAGCCATTCACTCAGCAACTCTTACTCAACTAATTAAACTCCTTTATCCCAAACTGGTACATACAAAGAATACAAGCCAGAAGTCACCTTAGAAATGTCGAAAACAACTCAAAACTTTGACAGCACAAGAAGACAAAGACCAAACTAATCAGAATATACCTTCAGCCATATATCCTCCAAGACACAAAAAGCAGTAGGAAGTCATCAAACATGTTCCAAAAAGCCCCCCACGAACCATATATAGTGCAAAGACAGACAAACCAACAAAACTTGTGCAACAAAAGCTTAAATCTAAACCAGCAGAAGACTCAAACTCACAACTTATTCTCACCTGCAATTAGCAGCTACGGCAGCAAGGCCATCGGTGGAGAACCCTTCACAGCTAACAAGAACCAAAGACTTAAAGTTTGTGAAAGAACGAGAAAGTAGCTCCAGGCTCTCATCCGAGACCACCATCCTCTTGAGCCTAAGCTCCTCCAACCCAACTCTGCTCTTGGCCAGAGCCTCAATCCATGGACACACAAAACCACCCCACCCGTAAGGAACCAAACTGAAGTCAGCAAAATGAGGCTTTCCCTTCAAAGTCAAAGACTTGAGACCAGGAAACCTTTGGATCAACCTCTCTGGAGAGATAGAGTAACAGTTCCCTATGAACACCCTCTGCCTCGTACACCTCTCTATCCTGTACCAACTTTTACACACCAAAGACAAAGCGTTCCGGTCACGGTGTGAAACCACATAATCAAATATGTGCTCTATTACCTCGTCGGGGAAATAATTCATCATTTTTTTTCTTGACGTTTCTCTTTCTCTTACTCAGTGATCCAAACTCCCAAACTTTCCAGGAAAGCTTTCATACTCCATACAAGGATAGGAAAAACAAAAACACCCCGGAAAGGTAAGGCTCCTAAATTTGAAGTTCTACCACATCATGGAGAAAACCAAGATCTAAAGCCAGAAAAAGTGGGAACAGATCTAGGCCGAAACAAGAGAGTGAGAAAACAAATCTTGAAATCTAGAACATCAGGGGAGTCTAAAAAGAGGGTACTGATAAAAACTGAAAATTTTATACTCCCCAACTGGGATCTGCTTGGAGGGTAGCCAAAAAAACTCAATTTTTGACAAGGAAAAACCAACCAGAGAAAAAAAAAATGAGCAATGAGGTGGAAGAGAGGAAACCCAA